CTACCTGCCTGAATGGAAGGGAGAGACAGGGCCAAAGACACAGAGAAAAATGTATTCCCTGGTGCTTCTGGACACCACTGGGAAACACTATAAAATGGCAGCATCTGCAGGCAGAGCATGGAGCTGGTGTGTGACTCAACCTGACCTGAGGAAGTTGGAGGCTACTCTATGAAATCAGAGGCAAGGGTGTGCAGATATGCGACCCAGCAGCTCCTTCAAAGGGAGTATAGAAAGGGGTGAAGACACAATTTGTGTCTGGTGGTGTATACTACAAACACAGGCTGGAACGTACAACTTAAAGTTGCAAAGCCTTGATCATAGAATTCCAGCGAGTGTCTAGAGCGAAGGTTTGGGTTTGTGGTTTGTTTGCGCGAGGAGGTCTTGATAACACCCACAAAGCACGCTGTGTAGATACCCACCTATGCCTTCCTGACCTGTCAAGCAGCCAGGGAGACTTCTAATCCAACCCAGGGAACTGCCTCATATGGGATTCCATACCCCATCCTGACCCATTAGCTCCAGGCCTTACTTCTGAAACCCCAGGGCCCCAGACCTTGTAGGAATCCTTGCCTCTCTGCTTATGCACGGAACCTCTGCAGCCTTGTGGGCAGTGGTGGCTCAGGGCTGGGGAGTCTTGATAAGATTCCCAGGGCCCCTGTGAGAGAGTTTTCCAAAGTCCTGGGAGAATTCCCGTTGATAACTTCGATGCATTCCCATTAACTAAACACCAGACTTTTTCAGAATCCACCAGTTTTTCTACCATTGTCCTTTTTCTATTCCAGAACCCCACCCAGCATATAATACTGCATTCAGTATAATGTTTAGCTTTGAGACGATGCCGTGCACACTCTTGTAGCTATCTTTTGCTCTTTACTGTCCCACCATGAATAAGCAGGGTGCCTAAGACCCTGGGTTACATGTCTTGTGCTAGTATAATCATTAGTAGAATCCCTCTCCATTGTCAAAAATGTCCTGGTTTGGCAATAAATTATATAGTCCTCCTAGCCATACGCATCTTTCGACACCGTTAAACACCACCCAAAATTTAGTGGCTTAAAACAACCAGAATTTCTTGTTTCTCGCTATTCTGCGGGCTGTTTCCCACAGGATGCTCCCCCTGGTCTGTGCTGGCTTGGCTGGGCCTGGATGGTCTAGAGTGGCCTCACTCCTGCATCTGGAGCCTAGGCTGGGGCAGCTGAGGTTCTTTCCACTTGCTCTCTCAGTCTCCAGGAGGCTAATCCCAGCTGGGAGGCCTGGTGGTGGTGGCAGAGTCTGCCTGTAACAGGAGAGGGCAAGGCAAATACCCAAGCCTTTCCAACTCTGCCTCCACTTGTTTGCTAATGTCTCATTGGCCAAAGCAAATCACGGGGCCAAGCCCAGCCCCAGGGGTGGAGAAATAGACTGATGGGGGAGGAGCTAATGATATTGTCCATCTTTCAGTCTGCCACACTATTTTTTTTTCTTTGAGAGAGCGAAGGCAAGCAAGCCAGAGGGGAGGGGCAGATGGGGTTTTGGGGGGTAGGGCAGAGGGGAAGAGAGAGAGAATCTCAAACAGGCTCTGCACCGTCAGTGCAAAGCCCCAGTGCAGGGCTAGATCTCACCCTTCCTGAGATCATGACCTGAGCAGAAATCAAGAGTTGGAAGCTTAACTGAGTGAGCCTCCCAGGTGCCCTACCACAGTATTTTTTAAAATATGTTTATTTATTTTGGGGAGAGCACAAGTGGGGGAGGCGCAGAGAGAGGGGGACAGAGGATCCCAAGGAGCCTCTGCTCTGGCTGACAGGTTGACAGCACAGAGCCTGATGTGGGGCTCAGACTCATAAACCCTGAGATCGTGACCTGAGCTGAAGTTGGCCACTCAACTGACTGAGCCACCCAGGAGCCCCCCTGCAACACTATTTTTAATGACTTCAGAAGAGAATTCACCATACTTTACTTAGATCCCTATTGTTGGATATGAAATTTATTTATGATTTTTTGAGTGCTTATAAACAGTACTGTTAAGCAACTCTCTTAATGCATAAACCTTGTATGCATTTCATATCGTTATCTTGGATTCTATTCCTAGACGTAGACTTCCTTTCTTTGTCAAGTGATGTGAATTGTTTGGTTTTTTTCCCATTAGGAAAATTCAATTTGATTTTCTAAATAACAGACTTGTTGATATTAAAAAAGACCTTTTATGAGTGATATTTTTTGGCATCAGGAATCCCCAGCACATCATTTGTTTCTTCAGTATTTATATAGATACTACTCTGGGGCTACATTCCTTGAAGATGCTACCAATTCTGGTAAGTGAACATTTTACCCAAGCGTGGCTTACTTGTCATATCTTCCTTCCCCAGTGACCTTCTGCCCCCCAATTACAGCAAAGCTCAGCTGACTGAATGGCATTCTTCTCTCAACTCCCTAAATAAGCACCTCGGTGAGTGAAGTTTGTGGGATTCCACTCGGGTCTCTTCAGAACTCTGTTCGAGTAGTAGCCAATCATTTCTGTGAGAGTCTATCATGAATTCAGGGGTGAGGGCAAGTCCCCCTGGAGGAAGGAGGGAATGTAGATGGAAGAGTGAACTCTGGGAGTTCATGTAGGATCTCTGAAACCTTGCCTGGTAGAGCCCTCTTCCTCCCTCCCACAGCTTCCTGGTCACTGCCCAGCTGGCAGCCACACCAGCCACACACTCTGATCCCTGAACCTTGACCCCAGCAAGGAGTCAGAGCAATGGCTCCAATGACCTCCTGTGAGGACAGCTTGGGGGTCAGATCCTAAGCATGTGAGATGTCAAACATGTGTTCTTGCAGTCAGAGAGATGTGGGTTTTACCCCCCAGCTCTGTGTTGTCCCAGCAATATGACCCTGGGGGAGTCATGGTGTCTCTTGGCTTTAAACTGCTCCCGTATAACATTGGGATCTCAAGAGGAATAATCAAGGTACCTACCTTGTGGAGTTGCTATGAGAATTACAGCCTGCAGTCCAGTTGTAGTTCAATGCCTGGCTTACATGGAGAGTGTTCAATAGTAAATGGTAATATTTAAAAATGCTCTATATCAAAGGCCCTCAAACTCCTACCCATGGGTCCCTGCTTGTCTGCAAATAAGTTTCACTGGAGCACAGCTGATCTCCTTTGCTTATATATTGTGTCTGGCCACTTCTGCTCTACAATAGCAGAAACAAGTAGTTGCAACACAAACGTTATGGCTGGCAAAGCCGGCAATATCTACTATCTAGCTCTTTATAGAAAAAGTTTGTCAAGCCTTGCTTTAGAAGATATATGATATTTCCATCTCCTTTGGGGCTGACAGCAACTGGTAAGGTCAGTGGTGTCATTGTCCCCCTGTGATAGAGAAGGACTCAGAGAGGTGAAGTATCCCGCCCACAGTCACACAGCTGATGAAGTGTCACACCTGCACTTGACCTGGGTACTTTGGTTAATAGTACCCACCATTGCTCCCAGGGCTCTCAGGTTTAGAATTGCAAAGGTAGGGGCGCCTGGGTGGCTCAGTCGGTTGAGTGTCCGACTTCGGCTCAGGTCACGATCTCACAGTCTGTGGGTTTGAGCCCCACGTCAGGCTCTGTGCTGACAGCTCAGAGCCTGGAGCCTGCTTTGGATTCTGCGTCTCCCTTTCTCTCTGCCCCTCCCCTGCTCACGCTCTGTCTCTCTCTGTCTCAAAAATAAAAACATTAAAAAAAAGAAGAATTGCAAAGATATACTTACAATGCCGAGGGTAAGTGTCCCAAGACCCTAGATGATAGCAATGGCTGCCATTTATCAGGCACCTCCTACGGATGGACATGGTGCTGGGCCCTGGTAACCAACAGGGTGGATCACCCCTTGGGTGTTTCCAGTCCAGAGCAGAAGTCAGACCACGCAGGCTGTTACAGCAGAGTAGACAGGTGACCAGCGTATTTCTGGGGTCACAGCTTGGTTAAGGGTCATACAAGATCTTGCCAAGGAAGTGATCATCCGGTCAAGAACTGCAAGGCAAGTTAGAGTCAGCCAAGCCCAGGGCTGGGGAGAGCTTTCCAGGAAGGAAGAATAGCACACATGAGGAGGCTCAGGGGCAAGACAGAGCTGGGGCTTTGGGGGAAAGGAGAACATGGCAGGTGAGGCGGGAACATGCCAAGGGGCCAGACTGTGCTGGCCATGTGACCTTGTGGGGGAAGCTGGGCTTCGTCCTGAGGGAGTGGGAACCCAGGGCAGAGTTCTGAGCTGGAGACGATGAGTTCAGAGCGGGAAGAGGGCAGCACGGTACAGGAGTGTGGAAGCACAGATCAGGGTGAGGATGTGCCGGCCTAGGAAGCTGCCCTGGGGATGGAGGAACCAGCTTCAGAGCCTCTCCTCACAGTTCCACCGCATGTCTGCCCTCCCTGGGGTCCTAAATCTATCCCCAGCTTCCCTCCGCCCCGTCCTCTTCCTCAGCCCTTGTCAAAGACCAACCACCGCAGCATCTTTGTGCTGCCTTTCAGTTTCTAGAACTGCTAGCAACGTTAAACATCAGCTGCTTATCTTCGATACCAAGAGTTGTGCTGAGTTGATTGTAAAGTGGGAAGCAGTAGAAGCGTAGGAGAGAAAATCAATCAGTCAGCATCTGAGTGTTCTGCTAGTCCGTTCACTTAAGGAATTAACCACAGACACGATCTGTAAACTCTGATTAGTTTGCACCCTTGTTTTATGATTTGGTACAGCCATCTGAAAAGGGTTTTATTAGCCTTGAAACAGAGTCAAGAATGAGGGTTAGAATGGATTCAGAACAGATAAAGACAACTCATTTGAGGTCCTTATCTTGGGCTGTCTGGGACTTTGTAAGGAAGGAGATTCCAGCCTCTGGGCCAATGATCTCACCTCAGTTATCTTCGCTAAAGGGAGACACTGCCTCCCTTGCAAAGGGGAAACTCTAATCGCCCCTCTTCCTTCTGGAAGAGCAGCTGACATGTTTTGTTTCTGCCCATGGAGATGCCTACCACATGGGCTGCGTGATGCAGATCCGCCTGCAGTACGAGAAGACCTGGCAGGAGTGCCTGGCCCGCGTGCAGGAGTGCAAGGTGGGTGCCCTTCCTGGCCCGCCCCTGCCCCTCTCCAGCCTGGATCCCCTGCTTTGCCTCCTCACGTGCCCCAGGCCCTCAATGGCCTCTGGGCATCCCCCTTCCCGGACACCCCACCCCCAGTTATTCCCACCCATCGCTCAAGGTATAGCCCGGCATGACCTCCTGCAGGAAGACTTCCCTGACCCCACGGATGAAGTTGTACACTCTCTGATCATGTCAGACTTCAACCTTGACCATCTGTACCACTTACAGCACTTGACATTATTTATTCAGTGGAGGTCATATGGGGGGGAGGTTATTTCCAGGGCTTCACTTTTTATAAGTAGCGCCACCACTGCTGTCACACCCAGCCCTTCGGTCCACCCCGCCTGCCTCTGTTACCAAGTGAGACGGTGAGTTCACTCACAAACCGCTTCGATTACAATGCCTGGTTTTCTGGGGTGCAGGGAGATGTTTTGTCGATATGCCCCCTCCCTGCATCCTGGCTCCAACGAATTCCTGCTACTTCACCCCTCATGAGTCTGTAGAGCTTTTGTTCTGCCACCAAGACTCGGAGGTGAGCAGAATTCACAGGGGGCAGAGTGCTTTACAGTGCCGCGTGGGGCCGGTGCTGCATCCCTGTGGGCTGACACTCGTGTTGAATCCTACAAGCTCCTGCAGGGTGGGTGTCCCCGGCCCTATCTGGCGATGAGAAGACCAAGTCTGCAAAGGGCCCAAGGGCTGCCCATTTGCTCTGTGGCCTTCGGGGCAGCCACATGCCTCTCAGTCAGCTTTATCAGGGCGCCAAACCTCAGAAGTAAAGCCTGGAGGGAGAGAAGGGAGGGAAACCATTGCCCTAGGAGAACCTTCCCAGGACCATGACCCTGACAGCCTCTTCCCATCCCCCTGCTGCCTGGGACCTCCCAGGAGCCCAGTGGCCCTTAGTCCTGGGTGCTGACCCTTGTGCCCATCCTTCCTTCCTTTGTCGGGCGCAGCAGGGGATAAGCTGAAGTCAGCACACACCCCAGGAGCGTATTAGACTTGACAGAGGAAGGGCACTTGGTTACTCCTATTCAGCAGCATCGGAAGTATACAACTATGGACAAGTTTTCATTTGGGGGGAGATTGGTTTATAGTAGATTTTGTGCAAAAAACAAGGCTTTATTAATATGAGGAGCCTGCTTGCCAGTTGACACAATTCAGTTTTAGGAAATAGGAGCTGGGTCTGACGTGCAGCAACACTGAGGCCTGACTATACCTGTAGAGTCTATGGTAGGTCGGTTCTGAGTTCAGATCCCCGCCCCACCCCTTGCCAGAGGTGTGGCCTCCAGCAAGTTCCTTCACTTCTCTGAGCCTCGGTTTCCTCATCTGTGAAACGGGGCTAATTGGAACACCTTCAGGGGACTCAGTGAGACAACAGGGACAGCACACAGCACCTGGCCTTGGTGGGCGGACCGTAAAGATGGACCATCTCCCCCACTGTGAGGGTCTCCCCTGAGGCTGGGTGAGAGGCAGCCCTCGGGGAGCAGGGCCAGGCACCGAGGTCAAGCCCCCACTGGTCCTAAGCCAGGCTGGGCCTTGCTCCCCTCCAGAAGCAGCTGCTGGACTGGAAAGCCTTCACTGAGGAGGAGGCAGAGAGCCTGGTGAGCCCATACTTCTTCCAGATGGTGGGAGTGCTCCAGAGCAAGGTGGAAGAGGAGCTGGAGCTCCTGGACGTGCGTAGCTGGGGACCCACACGGCTGGGGAGCGGGGAGGGGGCGTCACCCGGAGTGCCAGGCTGTGAGAAGACCAGGAGTCCGGGGGCCTTCAACTTTCCTGTCACTAGTGAGTCCATCCCCCTTTGCACAGCCAGCCCCTTTGGCGCTCCAGGCTCATCCTCGACACCCCAGCTGCCCTCTGACACGCGTGCTGCACAGGACTCAGGTAGCGAGTGCTCCTTGGAGCCCCTGCTGAGTCTGGGCGCTGAAGGGCCACGAGCAGTAATAAGCCCCTGCCTCCAAGAGGCTTAGAGTCTGGAGCTGGGTGAGCAAACGTTTTCTGCAAGGGCCGCATAGTAAATATTTCAGTTTTCTGTGAGCCAGTCAGGTCTCTGTAACAAATTCTCGCTCTGCTGCTGTCACCCAAAAGCAGCCAGGGGCCGTGCGGAAACGAACGGGTGTGGCTGTGTTTCAGTAAAGTTTTATTTATTTGTGGACATTGAAATTTGAATTTCATACAATTTTCACATTAGTAAATATCTTCTTTTGATTTTTTTTTTTTTTTTTTTGCATCTAAGAAATGTAAAATCTATGCATAGCTCTCAGGGCCAAATAAAAATAGACCGAAGGCCAAATTCAGTTCACAGGCTAAGTTTGCTGACCCCTGGCCCCAATGAATGCCTAAAATACATTTATAAAATGGGGAGAGGTGAGGATTTAATAGCAAAGTGTGGTGGTTGGCTCAGATGCTGAGAGTCCAGGAACTCCAAAGAAGGAAAGATTCCCAGGCTGAGATGGGTGTGGCCCACCCAAGGGCCCAAGCTGGTGTCTAGGATGCCTTCTTCTTTCTTCTAGGTCTGAAATTTCTCCTTGTTCCCATGAGGGACTTCGGTGGGCATGGGACAGGTCTAGAGATGGGACTTCGGGGTCAGCCAAACTGAAGGCTTGGCTTTGGGCAGACCAGAAGCTGTCCCAGAGGAGGGAGGGCCGTGAGCCAATGTAGGATCCAGGAAGATGACCCTGAAGGATGGTGCCCAGGCAGTGACAGCCAGCCCTTGGCGACATGGGACCTTCACTGGCTGGTGAGGGAGCCCCATGAGGAAGGGCCTTCTCCCCACCCTGGGCCCCTTCTCTGGGTTCTGCCCCTGCAGAAATCCTTCAAGGACCTGGCCAAGCAGACAGAATGTCAGAGCTCGGATCTCCTCAGCTACTTCCAAGAGGCCGTGAGGCTGTGGGAGGCACATCAGAACACGCTGTCCGAACAGGAGCTAGAGCTGGAGAAGAGGATGGAACAGCAGCGGCAGAAGCACATCCTGGAGGAACAGGTGTGGCTCCTGGCGCCCAGGGGAGCCCCTGCAGGGAATGAGGAAAGGGCCACACCCAGGTTGTCAACGCCCAGATGACTCTGTTTGGTGGCCTGTAACCTTAGCCAGCATTCAGAGGCAAAGCCAGAAAAAGAAAATGAAAAAAAAAAAAAATCCCACCATGTTTACTTCACATCGTAAATAAAAATTAACCCCAAACTTATCTTAGACTCAAATGTAAAAGCCTCAAGCTAAAAAACCTGCACAGATGGAGAAACCGAGGCTCACCTTGGTCATGGGCCTGGATGTCATAGAAGAAATCTATACCTGAGTCAGGTCTGGGCTAGTGATGGGTCCTTGGATCCAAATGTGTTTGTAAGAGAGTGTGCATAAGAGACAGACAGACCAGGGGTGTGGGGCATTTACTTACAGCAGTCACCCTGTGCCCCCAGGAGATGATCTGGGCCCCCACCCCACCTGCCTTCACAAGGTCCAGGGAGTGGAGGGGCACACCCAGCATCTGATTTCAAATACAGTTGGTGACAAGGAGAACAAGGGGCAGGCACTGTGGGAAGGTGTAGTGGGGGCCTGCCGGGGCCTGGTGGGTGTAAGGGACAGGTGGTCCCTGAGGAGTCCCATCTGAGCTGGTTTCCAGAGATGTAGACAGAGAAGAATATAGGCAGAGAGAAGAGCCTGGAATATTGAAGGTAAATGTGGTGGCACATTTGGTGCCCCTTTTTATAGGAAAAAGTCCTGCATTTGCCCTGGGGTGCCTGCATCTGCAGTGGCAGGGTCTCTGTATGCCACTCACATGCCCTCTCTGAGCTTTGGTAACTCGCATCTACTTCTTCTATTTTGGGGATGACTTCCAGGCCCAGGAAGCCCACCTTGATAAGCTCTTGGACCAACTGAGGCAGCAAAGCCTTGAGGAAACACTGAAGCTTCACCTGGAAAAAGCCAAAGATTTTTTGAAGAATATGAAACACAGGTAGGCAGGCCAGACCCCAAAAGACAGAAGGGGATGGCCTGAAATTCATAATCAAGGTCAGAGGCTACCTGCTTTGGAGTCCAGGGTGTGCTTAGCAAGCTCAAGATGAAAATGTTGCCTCTAGCTTTGGAGAATCTCCTACTGGTCCTTAGCAGGTCTGCTTTCAGCCAACACAGAAGCTTCCAGGGAGAACTTTGATCCGAAATGTTTATGGAGGGCTATTTCAAGGCCATGTGGTTTAATTTTTTTTTCAAAAATTTTTAAGGTTTATTTTTGAGAGAGAGACAAAGACAGAGTGTGAGCAGGGAAGGGACAGAGAGAGAGAGGGAGACACAGAATCTGAAGCAGGCTCCAGGCTCTGAGCTGTCAGCACAGAGCCCAATGCTAGTCTGGAATTCACAAACTGTGAGATCATGACCTGAGCCAAAGTCTGACGCTTAACCGACTGAGCCACCCAGGCACCCCAGGGCCATGTAGTTTAAAAGTCAGGGGATGGGGGGGCGCCTGGGTGGCTCAGTCTGTTAAGCATCCGACTTCAGTTCAGGTCATGATCTCGCAGTCTGTGAGTTTGAGCCCCACATCATGCTCTGTGCTGACAGCTCAGAGCCTGGAGCCTGTTTCAGATTCTGTGTCTCCCTCTCACTTTGACCCTCCCCCGTTCATGCTCTGTCTCTCTGTCTCAAAATAAACGTTAAAAAAAAATTTTTTTTTAAAGTCAGGGGATGGACCCTCCTACTACCTTTTCAAATTTTAAAACACATGTGTTCTTTGTAAAAGAAAAAAAAAGTTAACCGCTACAAACATGTAGAAAATTTCCCCTCATTTCTGCCCACATCTTCCTTTTGTGGACATGTACATTATTTTATGTGGATATATACACATACAAAGTGTTTTAAAATAAAGTCTAGATCATCCAATGCAAATAGATCTATAACTGCAGATATCTATTTTCTAATATCCATGTAGAATTCTTTAATATGGATGCTTCATAATGGTTTAACCATCTCCCAATTGATTAGCTTTTTAAGATTGGTTCCAATTTCTCAATATTAAAAACAGTTCTCTGTGAATTACCTTAAGTCTTCATGCCTTTGTACATCTAATTCTGTAAGGACCATTCACAGATATGAAATTGCGCTGTCAAATGATTGCAGTACTTAGTTCTTGCCTCCCACCCCCAGGTATGAGTGTTTCCACAAGACCCTGACAAAGGAAGTGATGGAGTACCCAGTGCTCACACTGAGAGAACTCAACTCCTACAGCTCCACCCTTAGCCAACATTTCTATGTTCGTGAGATCTTTGAACAGGTATGGACAGGGCTGCAAAAACCCAGCCCCTCACCAAAGAGCAAAGGGGAGAGGATATCTTCTAGCTCTGATCTGCCTTAACTTTGAACACCTTCCTTAACTCCTGCCCAGTGAGAATCTGCCAGGAAATCAAGGAGGAAGAAGCTAGAGGCATTTCTAAAAGAGACCATCTCTTGCTTAGATTAAAAGAGGTTGAAGGGCTCTGAATTCAGGCATTCTCTGTCTGGATGTGTTTGTATATCTATTGCAGTCAAATACAGCAGTTACAGAGCATCCAGAGTGGGTATTTCCTGAAGGGCAGGTACACCTCACTAATTTTGATTCAGCTTCAGTTGCCTTTAGCACAGTGTCTTGCACATGATTCAGACACAATGAATGCTCCCTGGGTAAATGTATGAATACCTGGAATGTCCTGGTCCAACACTCCTAGAGTTTGTCTTTTTCCCACACACCCAGCCGGAGTCTTGTATGGCCAGACCTGAAAATACTTGTGGTTAACACTGAAACTAGATGAGGCTTTCTCGTATATACAGGGTCCCCAGATCCTCAGAGAATCCTTCCTCTCTGGATGGAGCTCTGTTCCACTTGTTAGTAAATGCTTCATATGGTACCTAGGTTAAGGTGGAGCTCAAGTTATACAAGGGTGGGCTTACCATCTGCGCTTTGAGATCAGTCTGGTTGTCTGGGTTAAAGTTTAGGTGCCATTAGGATCTCCGTGTCACAAGGGAGGACACTGAGTCCCGTGGGGCTTAAGGAACTTGGCCAGGGTAACTCAGCTTGAAAGGAGCTGGGATTCAAATCCAGACTGCAAACTCTACAGCCCACACTGTGTCATGTTATCGACATTATCCACAACACAGTACATTCGTGACTTCATTCAGAATTTATAGGGTTAATGAAGGGGTTCCCAGGTCATGTAGATTATGTTCATTCTGTATGTTCACATCCAGCACTGGGAGCAGCAGATTCCTTTCCGCCTGTTTGCATCTCTCAATTTATACTTTCTTGCTCTTTGCCCCAGATCACTACCAAAATGTCAGAATGAGAGTTTATTTATTAACACCTATTGTGTGATAAAAAGATTTGCTAGCCTGCTTGGGATTAAAGAAAACTGATTCCCTGGTTTGGGAATACTCTGATTATCCCAGTGAAATAAGTAATCAAGGCCTGTATCAGATGAAGGGGAGGGATGGGTCCTTTTACTTAAAAGAGATGCCCTTAGAAGTGGCATTCTGGGAAAGGCAGTGCTGCTCACTCAGTGTCCTGTGTTTTTTCTTTGTAGACCTTGGATGGGGAAGTCATTTTCAAATTCAGGGAACCAGGTAACACTATTATAATTCAAGTCTGATCCTCTCTGACTTCACTCTGTACATTTGTTGGCCAGGTAGGCCCAATCCAGGTGACCTTGGTAACATTTTTTTCCTTGTGCTTTGGGGTTGGTCATCAACAGAAGCACAGGAAAAGCTCTTCCAGGAGAGTATGAGAAAACGGAGGAGTAAACAGAGAGCTCAAGTGGAAATGAGCAGAAGTGAAGACAGTGAAAGCGCAGGAACAAGTTCATCCAGGCTAGCGGAAGAGATGGAAGGAGAAGATCAAGACATCGAGTCTTCCTTAAATGAAGAGATGGCAGCGAGCCAGCAGGAACAATCTGCACTGAGTGACGAGATGGATGAGTCCAGTGAGGAGTCTATTCAGGGTTTAGAAGAAATGCAAGTTAAAAGAGACAGCTCCTTAAAACCATCCCAGAACCAGGAAAATGTGATGGTTCAAGAAGAGGAGACAGAGGAGGAAGAGGAGAAAAAGAAGGAGAAGGAGAAGAGGAGGAAGAAAAAGAAGGAAGAGGAAGAGGAGGAGGAGGAAAAGGAGGAACATGAAGTGGAAGAAAAGCAGGAGGAGGAGGAGGAGGAAAAGGAAGAACATGAGAGTTTATCTATGGATGAGGTAGGCCAACAATGGATTCATTCCTGTGTATGGAGAAAGTGTGCTAGGCTCTCTCTCCATATCCCTAGTACAAGCTGGAGTCCCCAGTGGTGCAGTCTCTGTGGGGATTTACACATGTGTGCACATCTTTTACTTCCGCCAACAGGGATCCAATTCTTATCTGATAACAATGCTTTTAAAAATTTACCTTCTCGGGGCGCCTGGGTGGCTCAGTCGGTTAAGCGACCGACTTCGGCTCAGGTCATGATCTCTCGGTCCGTAAGTTCGAGCCCCGCATCGGGCTCTGTGCTGATAGCTCAGAGCCTGCAGCCTGTTTCAGATTCTGTGTCTCCCTCTCTCTGGCCCTTCCCCGTTCATGCTCTGTCTCTCTCTGTCTCAAAAATAAATAAACATTAAAAAAAAAAATTTACCTTCTCCTAACATCTTACCCTGAAACTTACTCTGAACTCACCCGTGAACTGTATGACTTCCCTTGCCCATTTTTGGTCATCTCTTTCCCAGCTCCTCTTTACAGTATAGACCAACCTAGTCTCTCCATTCCTCCTCTTTTCCCATTCTCTTGTTGTGTAGCACAAAAGGTCTGCATCCAAGTCGGCAGATAGAGCTCTCCTTGGAGTGCAGGGAAGTGACCCTCATATTAATAAATCTTGTCCTCAAAACACATTCCAACTCACAGAATAGTAACTTGAATGCCATAATTGCAAAATTGAAAAAGACCCTTTTCCTATATTGCTGTGGAGAATTGGCATACTTGTTTTGCAACAGGGATCCCAAATTCAAATGCCCACAGGCATGTAATAGGAAGAGGTCTGGAGACCCAAGTGTAAAGTAGTGACAAGTGATGAGAACTATTATTGTCTTAGTCCCTTGGAGCTTCTATAACAGAATACCATAGACTGGGCAGCTTATAAACAACAAGAATTTATTTCTCACAATTCTAGAGGCTTGGAAGTCAAGATCAGGGTTCTGGCAGATTTGGTGTGCGGCGAGGGCCCACTTCCTGGTTCATAGAGAGCCAGCCATCTTCTCACTGTGTTTCTGTGGAAGGAGCAAGGGAGCATTCCAGGGTCTCTTTTATAAGGGCACTAATCCCATTCATGAGGCCTCTGCCCTCCTGACCTAATCACCTCCTAAAAGCTCACCTCCAAATACCAACACATTGGAGATATGAATTTTGGAGAGCATCCAATATTCAGTCTATGGAAACTAGGCAGTCATTACTCAGCTCCAGACAATAATGCCATGTGGTAATGGAGAGACTCAGAATTGCCAGATTTTCTGATTTTTAAGAGAAATCAGAAATCTAGACTATTTGTAGAATTTCCCATTTTGAAAGCACTATATGGGTAAAAAATAATTATAGGCGGGATTTCACCCACAGATCCATAACCCTGATATCAAGGATATAGTCTGGGTTGGATATCAAGGATATATCCTGGGTTGGATCCCCAGGTATGTGTGATGATGTCAAGTCTAAAGTCTTGTTTTCTGCATAGGCTGAAGCCCAGGAAGAACATCTGGGGGAAATCTCCTGTGAAGACATGGAGTCCTTCACAACCTCCAGCGGACACACTTATTTTGTGTTCCTACCCCTGGAACAAGAAGAAGAGAGTTTCAAAAGGCCCAATTCCAACTTTTCTACCATTCTCATCAATGACACTTCCAGTGCCCACCTCCTAGACCAAGTGATAATTCCATCCAGACTAGTTTTAGGAATTAAGAAGCAGTGAGTAGAAACCCTTTATTCTCATTCTCTTGTCCTGAGTTTTATTAACAAGGTGAGGTATTATAACAAAAGATTGGACTAGTTTCAGCTGGGAAAAGAAAATGTGTAGGTAACCGAAGGTAGAGATGAGAAACAAACAAAAATAACAAATTTCCAGTAATTATTTGTAGTTACAGATATCTTCTGTGAGAGTGACCCCCTTTGCCTGTCCAGTGATGCCTTGCTGGCTTGGGCCTTGTACATAAGAAATAGTGCTTTCCCTGCAAGATATTTCTGGGATTCTAACCTGGCATATGTGTAACCTTAGGGTTTCCCTCCCTCCCTCCCTTTCTTCCTTCCTTCCTTTCTTTCTTTCTTTTTTTTTGGGGGGGGGCGGTAATTATATAACTATAGATGCTAGGTATATCAGTATGGTATTTGGCTCTGATTATATGACACATTAATTGCAGACAATTAGAAAATTGAAAAAGTACAAGGAAAAATAAAAAAATGACCCATAATTCTACCACTGAGAATTTACCTCCCCTAACTCCCAAGTTTCTGGGAGTGAATTTGGACCAAATGTGGAAATTTACAATTGGCTTTAGGATAGCATTTCCACTGCACTCCTGACTCTACGGTATCATCGCAGGACTTACCAGACAGAGATCACCTGAGTAGTCTATCTCCTATGTGTATACATGGTCATGGAGTAGAAAGAGTTAAGTCAGGCTTTTGGAGTCTTCTCTTTCACCTCAGCATCGTCTCACCTTGAAAACATCTCTTGACTTGAAACTCATCCTTTCTCCTTCCTCTGCCACAGTCCATTTTCTGTTCTCCCCTTAAAGAAGAAAAGCAAGGATCACCACCAGAGCTAATATGCATTGAGAGGACTTAATACTCTCAATAACTATGACAGGGGTACCATAATTAGCCTATTTTACAGATGAAGAAACTGAAGCTTAGTTAGTAGCTTGGATAAGATCTCTGGGATAGGAAGTGGTTAGATCTAGGATATGAATCTAGACCATGTGATTCCAGAGTTTTGAAAGAAACACTATGCCATCTGGACTTGCTACTAACCAGAAAAAAAAAAAAAATTGGATCAAACTGATTGTATTTGCATGTTGAAGGATACAATACTGACAAGTATGGAAATCATGAATGTACAGCTCAATGAATTATCCAAAGGGAACACACCTGGTAACCAGTGCCCCCAAGAAATAGAACATTACCAACTCTCCAGGAGCCCCCTTATGTACCCATCTCAAGTCATTGCCCTCTCTTCCCCAAGGATAGCAAATATTCTAACTTATGCATTAGTTTTGCTTATTTTAGAACTTTATTTAAATGGAATCATACAGAATGCATTCTTTTATGTCAGGATTCTTTCCTTATGTTTGTAAAATTCATATGTATTTTTTAAAATTTATTTATTTAAATTCAAGTTAGTTAACATACAGTGTAGTATTGGTTTCAGGAGTAGAACCCAGTGAATCATTATTTATATATAACAGCCGGTGCTCATCCCAAAAAGTGTCCTCCTTAATGTCCGTCACCCATTTAGCCCACCCCCCAACCACCTCCTCTCCAGTAACCCTCAGTTTGTTCTCTGTATTTAAGAGTCTCTTATGGTTTGCCTCCCTTTCTGTTTTTAATCTTATTTTTCCTTCCCTTCCCATATGTTCATCTGTTCTGTTTCTTAAATTCCACATATGAGTGACATCATATGTAGTTTTGAATGTGGGGTTAGCTCATTTTTATTCCTGTATAGTATTCCATTGTAAAAATACATAACCCATTTTATTTATCCATTCTACTACTGCACATTTGGCTTGTTTTTCACTGGGGAATGGAACAATGCCACTCTGAACATTCTTGTATAAGTCTTTTGGTGAACATACGGCTACATTTCTGTTAGATATATAACTGAGAGTGGAATTGTTGAGAGATAGGGTAATATGTGTGTCCCTCTTGAGGAGATACAACCAAAAGATACCACCAAAGAGTTTTCAAAAGCGATTTTGTTTTAACAGTTTACAACAGTGTGTGAGGGTTCCAGTTGCTCCACATCCTCATCGACACTTGATATTGTCAGCAGTTTTTGTTTTAGCCATTCTGGTGTATGTGTAGTAGTGTTGAACATTTGGTTGTCTTTCTTGAAATGTCTAGTCAAACCTTCTGCCCATTTTTTTTTCCTGGTGGGTTGTCAATCTTTTCTCTTATCAATTTATGTGAGAAAGTTACCTATTCTAGATATGAGGCTTTTGTTAGGTAAATACCTGGCAAATGTTTATCCCTCTCTTTGCTTGCCTTTTTTTACTCTCTTAAGGTATCTTTTGATAGAAAGAAATTCTTATTTGTAATAAGGTCCTTTTCACCAACCTTTTTCATTAGGGTTAGTGTACTTTCTTTCTTATCTAAGAAATTTTTGCTTGCCCCAAGGTCATGAAAATATCCTCCTATGGTATTTACTATAAATGTTATTGTTTTACATTTCCACATTTATATGTAAAATCCACCTGAGATTAATTTTGCTTACGTGTGAGATAGGAGTCAGATTCATTTCCTACCATATGGATAATCACTTGACCCCAGAAGACTCCCCTCTCCCCACGGCTTCTGTTTCTCTGTGTATCTATTCTTGCATTACTGCCTCACCCTGCCTGATTACTGCAGTTTTATATCAAGTCTTAATATCTGGTAGAGTATGTTCTCCAATTTTGGTCTTCTCCTCAACTATCTTTGGCCATTTGCATTTCTACATAAACTTGAGATCAGCTCACTGGTGTCTATAAGAAGATGTCTGCTGAGATTTTTATTGTCATTGCATTGAATCTATAGATAAATCTGGGGACAACCAACACCTTAACAACACATAGCCTTCTTAACAATACATAAATTTTGAAAAGGAAAAAGTGATAAATTGGGGAGAGTATTTGCAACTCACATTGCAGTCAAATGACCTCACGTTCCTAATATATAAGGAGCTCCCATATAAAGAGATTGAAAAGAAAAAGAGCATCTTCACAACAGAGAAATGGGCAAAATATATTAATGCACAGTATGCAGAAAAAGGAATTATATAGTCTTAAACACATGACAATATGCCCAGTTTTGGTCATAACATGACAAAATTGTCAAATTCAAAAGTTCGGCAATACACTGCAAGGCGGCGGAGAAATAGGAACAGACTGCCTTGCGAGGAAAGCAGTCAAGCCATATCTTCAAGAACCACATATGTATTTTAGCCTTTGAGTCAACAATTCCAGTTCAGGGAATTTATCCTACAGGAATGCTTCTACGCTTGACTTATATACAAGGTTATTCACTGCAGCCTTTTTTGAAGAACAAATGGTTGGAAACCATAAAGTGTCTGCCAGAAGGGGATCTGGTTAAATGAATGATGGTCCCTCCAGACAAAAGAATATCATGTAGTTAGGAAATAAAATAAGAAGTGAAAGAGGGAAATGCTTTATATAACAATATGGAAGCTCTCTCTGTGGCCACTGCTACTGGCAGAGCTGACCCTCACTGGTTTCTCCCTCAGACTTCGAGCTGGTTTTTTCGAGCACCTAGAGAAGTGGTTTGACCAACGTGTCCTCAAAACCCAGGTCACTGTGGCCACCAAGATTGATGAGCTGGACTCAGAACTAGAGCTGCATCTGCACCTACACAAGCCAAGAGCTGAGTGCATTGAAAAGGACATCCACAATGTCAGAGCAGGTACAGACCCAGCCTGGGAAAGGCCACCCTGCCCCAGACAGCTGGTGTCTGTGCCACCACAGTTCTGCGTTCATTAGGTGCCCCTGTGTGAGGGTTCCATCTCTAAGGCTGGCAGAGAAGGTGCCCACATTTGAGATTTTTAAAAAATTTTCTTTTAAAAACAGGACTTTTAGATGCTAAAATGAAGAGTATTGTCATGCTTTAGCAGTGTGAATCTCAGATCTGCTCACACATCTGTCAGATATATACCTGCATAGCAGATGCTTCCTGTAGCTCAGGAGTCAGAGCTATCAGGCTCAACCTCTCTAGCTATGTGACTCTGAACAGGTGACCTGACCTCTCTGATCCCTCCCTTGCTTGCAGAAGGGGATATTGTTGGTGGTAATCAACTCTCCCTGGAATGGAACAGTGAGGAATCTTGAGCAAGTGGTAGGCATTAATTTCAGCTTATAGTTTATAACTTAAAAAGAGGTGCCATTTCTCTCTTAGGCAGAGGTCCCCGTTAGGGGGTGGCACACTTTTATTTGGATCCTCAATGACCCTGTTTGGTTTTCACTTATGTCACAATTCAAGCTTCTTCATAGACCCTTCCAGCTCCCAGAGAGACCACACATGGTCCCACCCAAACTCTTCCTGCCTGGAGCAGTGACAGAGTTGTGGGAACAGACAGCCTGGCCTGGAGTCCCAATGCTTGTGGCCTTGGGAGACCTGCTTGGCTTTGGAACCTCATTGTCTTCATTTGGAAAATATGTGCATTAAAACTAAATATAAATTGAGATGCTCTATTTCTTGCCCTTCCCTGGCTCCCTGACCCAATGTGTGATTGGGAGATCGAGGTCAGAGAAACAATGCCCCAGAGTCACTGCACTCATTCTTGGCATGGCTGGGAGGACAGAATTTTCACCACTGTGGGCAGTAGGGAGGTAGGGTGGACTGACCTGGAACTATCTGTCAGTTTTAAAGACCTATGATGGAGCCTTTGAAGCCAAATCCTCGTTCTGTTTACTCCACCGTAGAAGTCTGTTGGAATTCAAGCTCCTGGAAAGAGTAGTCACTGATTTATTTATTTATTTTTTTTAATTTTTTTTTCAACGTTTATTTATTTTGGGGACAGAGAGAGACAGAGCATGAACGGGGGAGGGGCAGAGAGAGAGGGAGACACAGAATCGGAAACAGGCTCCAGGCTCCGAGCCATCAGCCCAGAGCCCGACGCGGGGCTCGAACTCGCGGACCGCGAGATCGTGACCTGGCTGAAGTCGGACGCTCAACTGACTGCGCCACCCAGGCGCCCCAACTGATTTAAAGCAATAAACTCTGACTGCCGAGTGTTGTGCTGGTTGTTTTCTCCAGAGCCTCTCACCACAATCCCTGCCCTTCCCAAAATGTCCACCCATCCCACCTGTTTCCAGGTGTCTTCACCAGCAGAGACCTCCCTTCACACAGCCTGGACAGCCTCTTCTCTAGTTAGACGCCCAGGGGCAGTGTCAGATTGGCCTCTCTGAGATCTGCACCCATTCCCAAGCCAACCCCTGGCAAGGACAGCTGTCACTGTCTAGGAGGGGAACGTCCTGAGGTGACTTGGGATCCCAGAGGGCCTCAGCTCTCCTTCATTCTTTTCCAGCTGAGCTCTTGCTTCATCAAGAGCAGCTGGACAGCCACTGTGCTGGGGTGATCGAGACGCTGAGAAAGGAGAGGCTGATGTTCTACCGGTTCCAAGAAGAGCAAAACATAAAGAGCAAAAACTTCCGCCGCAAGATTTACGACATGGAGCATATCTTCTTGAATGCCACAAAGAGCCAGAGGTATGGCCCTGGGAGTCTCCACTCTGGCCCCATAGCCCTAGAATCTCAGCCAGGTGGCTGCTTTCAAAGGGAGTGGTTCCTCCCTGGTGGATAAAAGAGTCCATTTGCCAGGCCCCACAGCAACCTTCTCTTTTCAGCTCTCCTCTTCACACAAGTGAGTCTAACTGTATGAACTGTCTGTCCGGGGGCAGGGGGCTGGGGGCTGGGTGAGCAGCTAGGGAGAAAAGGGCACACATGTTCAGGATGCAGGGATGCTACTAACCTGCCCTGAAACGTCTGTGCTGGGAGAGACCACTTCCATCAAGGGAAATCGGGACGAACTTCCTGCAGGAGGCCTCCTGGTCTGAGATGGAGGAAGGTGAAGAGGAGACAGAATTTTTCCCCTCAGCAAGGAGCACTGCCCAGCTCGAGGTGGGGATATGCTCACGGCAGAGCAAAGGGCTCCAAGGAAGCCATTCAGGGGTTTTAGATGGAGGCCCTTGCGTGGTTAGGGAGACCTCAGGTAACAGGTGAGGAGCCCTCACAGGTGTCTGGACAGCGGTCAGGTACACAAGAGATCGCTGGTTAGGGTGGACTTAAAGGTGAAGAGGGAACTTGCAGGGTGCTCCCTCAGGAGAACAGCAGGCACAGGAGTGAGAGGGAAAGTTTGTGCTGCAGGGAGGAGCCAGATCAGTTGGACCTAGGGATTCCTTTAGTAATTTGACGGCAAGGGCCAGAGAGAGGAGAGGGATGTCCTCTGACCCAGCACACTGAGAGCTCCGCACTGTGCCCTGCACACACTGGCATTCTGAGCTTCCTTCGAAGCCTCTTTTTCTACCCAGAAGAACATGGCAGTGGTTCTGGTAGCCCCACAGATGGGCACTGCAGTGGAGCTCAAGCAGCGCCCCCAGGCTGCCCTGCCATGCCCACATCATCATCCTGCCCTCCTGTGTCTCCCAGGCTGGTTACTCTCAGCAGCACACTGCACCAGGAGCTGCTCAGCTACATCGACGTCGTGCAGGTGTCCCTGCGCAGCTTCCGCCAGTACTTGGAGGAGAACCTGGGCAAGCTTCACTACGCCAACATCGAGTTCATCAAGCACTGCAGGTGGGAGCCAGCGTCGGGGCCTCTGTGGACACTAGGCTTTCTCTATTGAGAAGTGGTCTTGTTTCCCCTCCATTGTTTATTGTGACAGAATACATAGGACGTACAACTGTCCGTTTTAACCATTTTCAGGTGTACAGTTCAGTGGCATTAAGTACAATCACATTGTTGTGCAACCATCACCACGATCCATCTCCAAAATTTCTCGTCTTTATACACTGAAACTCTGAGCGCATTCAACACTAACTCCTATTCTCCTCCCCCTGGCCCCCAACAGCCACAATTCCATTTTCTGTCTCCATGAATTTCACTTCTCTAGGTACCTCGCATAAGTGAAACCACACAATATTTCCTTTTGTGTGTCTGGCCTATTTCAGTTAACATAATGTCTTCAACACTCACCCATGTGACGTGTCAGAATTTCATTCCTTCCGAATACTGTTCCGTTTTGTGTCCATACCACATATTGTTTCTCCGTTCATCCCTTGAAGGGCTTTTGGGTTATTTCACTGCTTCTATCTTTGAACCACCTGCATTCATTTTTCTATGATCTTAAACTTTTAATCTAAAGCCTTGTCGACCACAGGATTTGGAATGGGTGGGAAGTTTCATGTCTGATCAGTGCCTTTTCTTTCTCCCAAACGATTTTCAGATTGTTTTCTGACGGAGGCAACTTTTCTGCTGAAGAAATTGACTCACTGTGTCATCGACTGGAGAAGGAAGCTTCTCGAATAGAGTTTGTTGAAAGTTTAATCATGATCAACATGGAGAAGATGGAGAATGAATATCTGGACCAGGTTGGGGAGCCCTGCCCCTGACCTCCAGCCAGGCATCCGGGGCGCCCTTGTACTTTGCCTGATGAGCCCTGCCAAGCCCCCTTTCCAAAAAATTGAGCCTGTCCCCCTCTGCTTCCAAAGTTCATAAGTTCCAAGTAAACCTCCCTCCTTTACTTTTTTTATTTTTATTTTTTTTTTCAACGTTTATTTATTTTTAGGACAGAGAGAGACAGAGCATGAGCAGGAGGGGCAGGGGAGAGAGAGAGGGAGACACAGAGATCGGGAAACAGGCTCAGGCTCAAGCCATCAGCCCAGAGTCGCCGCCTGAGCTCGAACTCAGCGGACCCATGAGATCGTGACCTGAAGTCAGGAGCAACCGTCGATGCCACCCAGGCGCCCCTCCTTTACTTTTTTTAAAAAAAGGATTAGTTTCTAATTTTGTTTTAATGTTTATTTATTTTTGAGAGAGACAGAGACAGAGTGTGAGTGGGGGAGGGGCAGAGAGCGAGGGAGACACAGAGTCCAAAGCAGGCTCCAGGCTCTGAGCTGCCAGCACAGCGCTGAGGCTCCGAACTACAACAAACTGTGACGCTGACGAGCCAGAAGTTTGACATGCTAACTGACTGAGCCACCCAGGCTGACCCCTGCCTTACTTTTTTTTATATTTCTCTACAGAGCCAATGATGTCATCAATAAGTTTGAAAGCAAATTTCATAACCTGTCTGTGGACCTTATTTTCATAGAGAAAATCCAGCGGTTGCTGACAAATCTGCAAGTGAACATCAAGAGATGAGGTAGGACAGATTCACTTTTACCTGGTAGATGTTTCATCATCCACACACACACACACACACACACCCCTGCATGCCAGCACTGTCCCAAGTGCTGGGGATACCACTGTGGGCTCTCCCCATGAAACTTA